TGGTGGCGCGATGTGCGGGTGCGGAGGATTTTTTTGTTTTGCTGTGTGCTCGGTCGCTGCTCTCTCTCTCGGGCTCTCTCTCGTCTGTGAAGAAGACGACTTTTTTTTTTGTTATATCTTACGGAAAACGTATTCAGCAAATACGGTTTCTGTAAGATTTAATTGTAAACCGTATTTGCTGAATACGGTTTCCGTAAGATATAACAAAAAAAGGGCGTTTCTTTGTAAAAAATGGTAGGAGGATCCCAGATTCGGGACTCGAACCCGGGTGGGCGAGTCCGTTATCTCTGGGCGCACCTCCTTACCATTAGGCCGCTAGGCTATAGCGTTTATATTTGCACAAATTTTAATTTTATCCTTCAATGTTAAGATTTTTAATATATAGTATATTATATAATTTATATAAATATGAATATATATATTATAGTATATACATATATATTATAATTTATACTTTAACATTACTATACTATATACTATATAAATCATATATAAACTATATCATATAAAATATAAGATATAAATTATAAACTATAAACTATAAACTATATCATATAAAGTATAAGATATATACATATGGTATATAATATATAATATATAGTATATAACATATAGTATATAGTATATAGTATATAATATATAGTATTATAACATATGTTATAAAGTTTATAAACTATATGTAAACTATATAAACTATAAACTATAAACTATATCATATAAAGTATAAGATATAAAGTATAAGATATAAATTATAACATATAAAATATAAGATATAAACTATAAACTATAAACTATAAACTATATCATATAAAGTATAAGATATAAACATTAAACTATATCATATAAAGTATAAGATATAAACTATAAACTATATCATATAAAGTATAAGATATAAACTATAAGATATAAACATTAAACTATATCATATAAAGTATAAGATATAAACATATAAGATATAAACTATAAACTATATCATATAAAGTATAAGATGTAAACTATAAGATATAAACTATAAACTATATCATATAAAGCATAAACAAAATATTTTCCAAACTCATCCATTTTTTATGCCCACAGACAGCAAAATGCATCTTGGCTATGGAGCAGCTGGCTAACAGTTTTGCAGAAATGTGAGAAGTGGATGCAAGTGGAAATCAGAAGTGGCCACAAAACAAGGATATGGGATCAACACTGGATACCCAATCATATTGGCAAACCTGTCCCACTTCTGGAGGGCATTGACAGAAGACTAAAATGGGTTAAAGACCTAATGACCCCTGATGGCTGCCATTGGAATGAACAAAAAGTCAGGAACACATTTCCACCAAGTACCTGTGAAGCAATCCTTAGCATTAATACTCTCAACCCCAACCAGCCTGACAGATGGACATGGAACCTAAATCAAAAAGGCATTTTTTCAATTAAGTCCACCTATGCTCACCTGATAACAGAGAAATTTCTTCAAATAAACCTGCCACAAGGAAGTAACTCAGGAAGCTGTGAGCTAAAAGCTAGAACTAGAACATGGAAGCTTATAGTCCTTGGTAAAGTAAGACACTTCATATGGAAATGTTACTCTGGTGCTTTACCTGTCAACCTCAATTTAAGAAACAGAGGGGTAGAGATAGATGTGATCTGTGCAGTCTGTGGAGAAGCTGAGGAATCAATTGAGCATTCACTATTCCAATGCCACCAAGCACAACAGGTGTGGAAGCTAGCACCAGTCAGCTGGGATGGGCCAAAGCAGAATGAATCTTTCAAGCCCTGGTGGTGGCAAGTATGTCAGCTGGATAAATGTGACACATCAGAGGCAAGACTACAATTATCCACTTACATACTCTGGTGGTTATGGAAGTGTAGAAATTTATGGGTATTTGAAAAAATTAGAAGACCTGCACTTTCCATTATTTATGCAGCTGTTAAAGACTGAAAATCTTATAAGGAGGCAAATGGGACCAGACCTCAGGAGCTTTAGTTTGAATTTTGTATTTTATCATTTTCTGTTTTTCTACTCTGTATCTTTTAGTATGAAGGGGTAAGGGCCTCGGTTGCATATAACTGCCTTATCCCTGTTTTTTTCTTCTCTTCCTTTTTATGGAGATGATCCATTCTCTACGCCACTCTCATGTGTGGTTCTCCCAATGATCGGCTTTGTTGTGACATTGTTATTGTAAGAACAATTGTGTATATGTTTGTTGTGTTATGAATGAGATAATCTATCGTTTGAAAAAAAAAAAAAGTTTATTTCTTTAAGTATGATAGCAAGTGGGTTTAAAGACATTTTGAATAGCTTGAGTATCTTGCAAAATAACTTTAGTCAAATTTTGAATTTTTAAAAGTAATATTGATCACTCAAAACAATACATTAATTTAAATTCACCGACGCATCAAACACAGAAAATTTCGCATGTCACACATTCGCTCGAGAAGATTTTATCTATTAATTTCTCATGTCACACATCTTGTATTATTTTTTAATTAACATGCTTGTTGTAGTTATAGTAATATAAAATTATAATTTTGGTCCATGAATACATAAAAATAAAAAGGTTCGACTTATATTTTAACAAATTAAAAGATCAAAACAAAAAGTAGAACAATCTTCATTCTCACATAAACTAACCTTTCATTTCTTCACTCATCTAGCAGCACACTACACTTCTCTCCGTTCAAAAATTTAAAAAACAAGAGTTTTCTACTTTTCTCCCAAAAGTTTGCAAGTTACATTTTGAAGTATTTTTCCAGTACCTCATTTGAGCTCAAGTAGTTTTATGCCATGAAGTTTAAATTGTCTTTTTGCTTCGTAGGTACTATTCTATAAGCAAGTTTCAGAAGACATCCTTCAGAACTATATTCATACTATTAAGCATCACAACTCTTTTAGATGCAATGTTTTTTCCATATTATCTGTTTTCTTCCTTACCTTCAGTCCACGTATAAATGGCTTTAAAATTTAGACTTTAAAAGATTACTAGTGTCGTACATCTTTTCTTTTTTCCCCTTTCAAAACCCTTTGTTGAGTGGAAAAACTACAAATCTGTCCTGCTTGTATCAGTAATGAAAAGCACATCAACATATATTGTAACATTTAGACGAAGACATACACAGTCTAATGAAAACCTATATCCATCCTCATAAATGCATATATTTGACTTCAACAACTTATGTCATTCTCTTACTCTAATTTAGGTCATTGTTGAATTAGGCTCTAAAAGCTTTTAAGAGATATATTGAAAATATACTTTATATAGGACAAGTGATCAATTAAAAGTTTAATGACTCTTACACAATGTTTGAATTTTTAGCTTTCTTAAATGATAATATATATTATCTATTGACATATCAATTGATTTTAACTTTGTCATTTTATTTTCTAGTATTATTCCAAACAATTGTAGTTTGACATAATCCTTCTTTTTTATGGTTCTTTTCACGTAATTGTTTTATTTGACTTTGTGATTTTGTTTTTATTTTGATCGTCAATTTTAATTTGATTCAATTATCGCGTAAATGATATTGTAAACTTACTATAACTAAAAATAAAATAAAGTGAACTTTTTTTTAAATGAAGAAACACTCTGGAAAGGGTGGTGGATTATGGTCTGATTCCCAACACGTGAACTTACATAAGCAAAGTTCATTAATTGAAAACCAAATCACAAAGACCAATAAATGTGCAAAAAATAATATTATAGTTGCTCTCGATTTGGTTTTATTTTTTTGTGGGCCAGGCTGTCTAACTCGTGGCTCATGGCAGATGTAAGCTGGGCTAGCCTTTGGTAGGCAGGCCAGCCCATCAAGTCACCACCAAGAAATAGGTTTTGGTGCACTGCAATCTGACCCACCCACACACCTGCCTGTTTTGATGTATCTAAGAGCGTGCTTGGGATACAATAAATCCGCTTAAAATTAATTTTTTTTGTTAACTAGAGTTTATTTTGAAAAAAAATGTGATATGATTAATTGATAGATTTTAAGTTTATATTAAAAAATACTTAAAATAAAATAATTAAAATTAATTTAACATAAAAGTACGAAAGAAATGATGTGAAATGATGTTTAGTTAAAATTATATTAGTTGATAAATAATGAATTAAAATTATTGTAAAATGTAAGAATGATTGATTATTATTATTTAGTTGTATTAATAATATTAAAAATAGTACGATTGAATTAAAATTAAATTAAATTTTAAGCATAACTTAAATTTATTTTTTATAAATCCAACACCCCATCCCACAAGCAATCCATCCAATTCAATTCCAGTGAAATCAGCACACTAACCAATCACGCGTTTTCTGCAGCCAACGGCCCTCCTCCCAACGTAATTGTTTCCTCACCACGAGCTTAAGATCCCTCATCAACGCTTCTCCCACCACCATCATATTAAACACTCTTTTTTTTTTAATTCATTTTAAAAAAAATAAAATAATAAAAGAGGCCAAATAGGTCCCTCCAAACCCATCTTTTCAATACCAAATGCACAACTACAAATCTTAAACTAAAAGGCACCCAACCTACGAGTCAGTGTAAAATAATATTACACCTCTATTGACAGATCCCAAATGCTTCAAAAACACAGTACCAACAGAGAGCAACCTCTCACCAATTAATTAAATTGAGCAAATTGTAAATTTATTCTTGTATGTTTCAATACCCTAACTTTTTTGTCCTCTTCGATATGCGTTTTTTATTTTCGTCCTGTATATATGCAAAAATGTTACAAAAAAAAATTTTTTCGCAACAAAAAAGTCTTTTATGTTTTGCAAAAAAAGATTTCAGTTCCATCCTTTATGTATGAAAATGACCATTTTGTAATCTTTTTGCAAATATACGAGACGAAAATAAAAAACGCACTTCGAAGATGACGAAAAAGTTAAAGTAGTGAAACATACAAAAATAAAATTGTAATTTACTCCAATTAATTAATCAATTAATATTTCTCCAATCATAGAATCTCTCTCTTCACTACTTAAACCATGTTTAGCCACCACAATTTGCAAAGTTTTCCCTCTCCCTACTTTTTTCTCNATGCCAACCATCCTGTTAAGAATGTTGCAATTACACAAGCTCCTCAGCTCAATCTTCCTATACTTAGTGCCCAACAAGCTGAGAACTTATCTCCCACCTTCTTGGTACCAAAACCAACACAAAACAGAGCCCGAGCCCACTCGACCAACGGACACTGACGAACTCAAACGAGTTTTCCAAATGTTCGACCTCAACAGTGACGGGCGGATCACAAGGGACGAGCTCAGCAGCTCCCTTAAGAAAATAGGCATCTTCATCCCGGACGATGAGCTGGCACAAATGATTGCCAAGATCGACGCCAACGAGGACGGGTGTGTTGACATGGACGAGTTCAGAGTCCTTTACCGAAACATCATAACTGAGGGAGAGGAAGAGATGAGAGAGGCTTTCAATGTGTTTGACCTTAATGGGGACGGCTTCATAACGGTGGATGAGCTGAGGTCAGTGTTGCCAGGGCTTGGGCTTCAACAAGGGAGGGTAGCTGAAGACTGTAGGAAGATGATTATGAAGGTGGATGCAGATGGGGATGGGAGGGTCAATTTTTCCGAGTTCAAGTGTATGATGAGAGGGGGAGGTTTTGCGTCATACGGTAATTGAGTTTGGGATCGANGATTGTGGATTTGAGGAGTGGGTGTAGATTTCTAGCGCCTGCACAGGAATTAAATGGTGAGACACTTGTGTTCAAGCTGATTGCAGATTGTTGAAATAAGAACACAGTATAAAAGGAAAACGATATATCCATAAATTGCTAACCGCTATGAGTGATATGGATGCATGAGAGAAGGTTGTTGAGCATCTCCAATGAAAAATTGTCTATTTTGTGTTGTATGTCATGGAGAAAGGAAATTAAAAAATTGTATCTCCAATGGTTAATGTTCATTGTAGTATCATTTGTGATGTGTTAAATTTTAATTGGTTGAATGAGAGAAATAAATTAAATAAATAATATAATATTTAATAGAAGTTTGTTTAGAAGGATTTCTACATCTAGAAAGCCTTCTAGACATTTTCCATGCCACGTGGGATTATTTGTGCCATGTGGCAACAAAATAGAGCAATAGAAATGCCAAACTTCTTATGTTTTTACCACTGTTTGATGAGTCATTTTTTCAAGGTTTTTATTTGTTTAAGAAAGAAACTTTGAAAGAATGTGTAGACATGTTATGATTTCATTAGCACAGGTGAGTTTCCTCAACCCTTTTCTTTCACCAAGTCAAAAATCAGCAGCAGTTTAAATCCATTAGTCAATAGCAGCAAACAGTTCAAGAAGCATGCTGTTCTCACTTCTTTTCGTAAATGACAAGTCAGTTTATAAAAGGCGAATGCTAAAGACTGGTTAAAGATGTTGGAATATGACATTTAGTGATAAGGAAGAATTCTTCTTTTACTGGAAAAGATATAAGAACAGATACCCAGAATAAATTGTCACACTTCTTCTTTTACTGGAAAAGATATAAGAATAGATACCGAGAATAAATTGTCACCGAGTTCTCACTATGCATATTATAGGGACCTGGGGGTAAAAATCATAATTTTCTTACTATCTTTTTTTGAAAGTTAGTACATATAATGACCTAAAACTTTAATAGGTCATGTGTATTAAGTTGACAAGGCATTCACACTCAAAAACTTATGAGAAAGTTTTCAATAGGTCTCATTACAAATGTAAATATAGCGTACCTTGACAGTCACTGTACAGGTTCTCAAAGCCAGAGCTAAGTCAAACTAAGGAATCCCTTCAATGGGTCGTAAGAGAAAAAGATAACAAGCATATGACTATCATCATAGCTTATGAGTAAGCCATTGCCCGACCTAAACACCGTCAAACCATTGGTTTAGCTTTTCCAATCAGTTCCCACTTACTGCTCATGAAAATAGGGTATTTCCCTTTTCTTCATTTCTTTTATTTGCAGAATGAAACTAGCACTAATACAAGATGCATTTTATGAAAATAAGCAAAGCGTCCCACGGGTCACAGAAACAACTATTGACTGGATTTTCATTATCAGCGTCCACCTCGAAGACATGGAAAATAATCAAAAGAAAAATGCATAAACCAAATGGTCGAACAATATGTTGATACTCATAAAATTCCTACATAAGAGTGTTGGACTAGTTGATACAGGGTTATCCATATACCTCGTAATTTCTTAGGAATTTAGACTCCGTTCCAAGCTAGCCCCCCTATAAATAATAAAAAATAACCAAATGCTCAAATCATAAAATCCCAGGGCACAAATCTTTCCTATTTTTTCCTTTTCTTTCCTTTTTTTTTTTAGTTATGTAACGTTTCAATATCAAAATTTAGCAAACACAACACCAGAAAGAAGGGCCAGCATACCCTTTAACAGGATTATATTACAAGTAAAAACAATAAATTGTAACTCATAAACAAGTAACAAAGTACCTGTGGGGAACCAACAATTACGGCAACTTATGATGGGTCAACGAAAATGTGTTTAAGCATTTCATGGATCGTCTCCAAAATGGTGCATGATTAACAATATGCTCCCCATTATATTCTGCCTAGATGTTTGAATAGCACTGGAAACAACATCCAGCCTCTTCTGAAAATGCCATGATGCAAGGCCTTTGTCTCACGTTATATGTAATATCTTTGAAGACACAACAAGTAGCAGAGGCACAATAAAAACAACTTTTAGTTATGTAAATATGCTAGTCAGAAACTAGAACTAAATTATTTCACATTCAAACAGGTTCCAGGGCTGAATGTCTACTATTCTAAAGATTTGGTTTGTTATCAGCAGCTTCTAAGGGCTTATATCTACTCTATGACTAACAATACACTCCAACATACAACTTCACAGGATAAATAAGAACAAAAGCAATCAAAGTTCAATCTGACCTTATCCATGGGTTCTCCGACCTGCCACCAATTCGCACCCACATCAATCGACCATCTTATTTCCTTCATCTCAAATCACCTTGAACTGCAGCTAACTGCCAGGACATTCATAATCCAATTACATCTCTACCATGTCAGTTCTGCAGCTTGCCATTAATCTCACGAATCAACAGCTTCGAGTTGTCGACCACCAGCTTGCTCCCATACACAATCTCTCGAAACAGCTCGTGCTTGGGCCACTACTGTAACTCCTCCAGGAATGCTCGTTAAGATGTAAGTGTCCAAAAGAAGTAATTGGAAGCTTCAAACTCTTCTTGACTGCGTGTGAAGTAAAGATTTTTAGCAAATTACATGGATACATAATGACATTGAAAATTAGTTTAAAGAATAGGTAATACGAGTTTTGAAGTTTTGACAAACCTTTTGCAACACGAGATTGATGGCCATCAGCGACGAGGCTTAAAATTGTCATTGACACTTCTGCAACTCGACGACAATGTGCTTTATTGACGAGATTTTCAATGAACGCATAAATTTCATCAATGGGTCCTAGTGCAGTTGCATGTTGCATGGCGTAAAGAAGAAAATCCGATAATGTTTGAGCCACTTCTAAACTCCCCGAATCTTTCAACATGTCCAAAGTTGAACAAAATTACAAACTGGGGCAAAACACATCCAGTCAAAACATGAAAAATAAAAGCAGCTTGCACTTCGGAATCACAAACAAGAACCACACAAAAAGAAAGAAACAATTTTTTTTATTTTTTTTTCTGAAGACTCACTTTTTCTATAATATGGAAAGAAAACGTATGGACCTATAAGTTTTAGGAGACTCCAAACACAATTGATTATGCTAAAAGGATGAAAACAGGGTATAACCAAACAGCGTTGCCTCTGCAAAATGGAAAAGCAGCACAGCTGTGCGCAGCTGCAATTTTTAAAGACACCTTCAACTAGGAAACTTATATTGAACTGATGTTTTATCCTATAAAATGCCAAAATATGCAGACTCCAAACACCGACAAGCATGTGAACAGGATGAAAATGATCCAAGTGTTTCCGAGGGTCAAAACATCATAAACGGGATTGGGCGTAAAATCTAGACAGTAACTTGGAGAATACATTTCTTAGGTCCAACACGACTCCCTAACAACCATACTCGAAAATCGAAATTACCTTAAACACTCCCCACCTAGGTAATTAAACTTTATTCACCTTCAAAAAGACAATCCATTATGAAAACTAAGGCCTGATAAAACACGTCAATCATATAAAAATTGAGCTCATAACCAAACAGCCAAAGCCAAGAGCTTAAAGTCAGAATTCAAAATATTGGTACCTAGCTTAACACGAGTATTTAACAGTACAACAATTTGGAGTTCTTGAAACTTATCCGTGCTTGGCCGTGAGTCACGGCGTCCTTGCGGTCGCACGGCGGTCGGCAGCTGGTATCAACTGCCTTATTGCCCACGCCCAAGCCCGGAAGAACGATTGCTAGTGGGCTGGAAGATTTAAATATGGGCCCCTGTTAATTACCTTAAATCAAATATATAAACTGCAGTGGGCCGAATCGAAAGGTATTGGGCCAGCCTAATGATCTGTGTGATACAACGTGGTATTGAAGATTTGCAGTATCATATACAGGGCTTAGCAAATAGTTTCTGATTTAGAGTGAAACTTGTTATGGATTAATTCTTGGGAAAATTTCGTCTGTCCCACGCGGATGTTAAAATATTTCATAAATACTATCAATCAACAATTAATTTTGTTCCTACCTAATAGATAATAAATATCTACCTAAATCCCTAAAAATCAGTTACATGTGGTGCGACATCCATTCCCTAATTTTATGCCCATGATTCACATTCCCTAATTTTATGCCAATGATTCACGGTCTGTTACTAAAAAAAAAAAAGCATGTCTGTTTAGGGTGGGTATATATTGCGTTTATGTTAATATATATTCAGTATATGCTGGAATGTTATGTTGTCTAGGGTGGGTATATATTCGTTTATGTTAGTATATATTCAGTATATGCTGGAATGGATAACATGGTATATTAAAGGTATATGTTTTTTATATTTTGTGGATGGAGTCGCCTATGATGATTTTCATTCATTATATATGATGAAATGGACTATATATAAACTATACATATACACAACAAAAGAAATTCGATTTATTCTTATTTTAAATTAGTTTTTGAATATTTTATAGTATATGTTGTGTTTGCGTATTTTTTTTCGTAAAAATTGCAGATACAACGAAGTATATGTTGAGTTTAAAAGTCAATATAAATTTTCATGTCTTGAATGGAAAGTATATATTGAGTACATAGCTAGTATATGTTACAATATTCAGTAAAATGATTGTTTATAGTTCTATTTTTTTTTCTAGTCCGTACACCCATGACTCATTATGAAGATCGAGATGGCTAATTGATGTTTACCATTTAACAATCACAGAGAACAATTTCATTTGGCTTCTTTTCTTTCATTCTCATATCTATTTCTTCACCCACCGCTTCAGTTCTCCATTTTATTCACCTTCTACTGCGCAATACGCTGGCTGCTACCAGACGAGCGGACGAGCGACTGCTACCAGACGCCGGCTGAACACGACGGCTACGGTAGACGGATCGGCTTGGATCTGCTGGGTGTGGGACTCGTCAGTGCAATACGCCGCCACGAGAATGGTCGAACTTCGTGGACTGAGCCGCGAGGTGCTGCGCAGACCGAACAAGGGCTGAAGGGAAAAACACCGGCGAAGCGCCACTGGTGCGACGGCGACCGAGTAAAGGCAGCGTTGGGGAGGAATTTTTTGCTCGAATTTCTCTGATGTGGGCGAGATTTCGAACGAAGAAGAAAGGGTTCTGAACCCTGACGACGCGAGAGAGCAAAATATTGGGCGAAAATTCTGATGAGCGGTTATATATGCTAACACATCATATTAGGTATATTTGTAATATTATTGTGTTTGTTTAGCTATTTTATAAATAAAAATGAAAGGGATTTATAAGTGTAATATAAATGAAATATGAAGGGATGGGGTGTAAATTCCTCTTTATTCTTCGTATTTATTTTAATTCGTGTGAGGTAGGCCGTAGGCGGTAATCGTGTGTTTGTATATGAAAATACTCCATCCATATTCAATTCATATTCAAAATCTAACACAACTCCATTCTATTATCTTCAATATTATCAATAATTAAATAATATCAACCAATCAATTATTCTTACACATCACATCAATTTTAATTTATTATTTATCCACTCACATCATTTAACTAATCATCATTTCACACCATATCTCTCATACTTTTACATCAAATCAACTTTAATTATCTTACTTTAAATAAATATTAATATAAAATCAAAATTCCACTAACAACTAATCATACCACTTTTTTAAAAAAAATAGTTCTAATTAACCAAAAAAACTCATTTTGAGTGGATATATTTTTATTAGAGCTGTCAAAACGGGCCGACGGGTGTGGCGGGTCTGTGAAAAGTTGGCCCAACCCCTACATATCAGTTCATTGTGTTTTTTCACATTTGATTTTAGTTTCGTAAAATCAATTCATTGTTTTTTTTATTAGCAGAATTGGAGTGGCTTCAATGAACAAAGATGCCGTCAGAAAAACGAGTTCGAGTCGGCAGATAAAGAATTCAAGAAACGGATTAGAAGAAACAACGCAAGCATTCGTGCTTCAGTTGGTAATTTAATACATATGCTTAAATAAATTTTCATCATATAAGGTGTATATACGTAGCCATGTTTCAATTTTGTCAATGAAAAGGAAAAATGCTTAAAAAACTGATGCACTTTTTGTAATTTTGGGCCCAAATATTTAGAGTATCCTCATAACTTGATTAATATTTTATTAATTTTTACTATAACATAAACCGCTGCATAACATAACCATCAATTCATATACAGAAACTTTGCTGAAATCAAATACAGTCAATTCAACACATAAGGGATTCAACAAAAGGAGTAAAAAAGCCATTGAATGAAACAGATTCCAAGGTAAGCATTTAAAATATTGGTAGTAACCATTGATTAAAAGCCTTTTTAGAATTCATATCATCATGTATGCCATAAATTGTATTACAGATTTTTTTTCATTCATTCAGATAGATACAGGAAAAAAATAAGAATTTTGTAAAACCCATGTCTAATATTTTCAGATACATAACATGTCTAATATTTAACTGAAAGAGTCTTTGGAATAGTCTTTGCATGATTCAGATGGAAACACAAATGGTAGTTCACCAAATAATCAAGGATTCAACAAGCGAAGCAAAACAGCTAATCAAACAAATATATCCAACGTCACAACTTTACTATCTAATTAATAGTTTAGAAAATGATATTTCATATAAATTTACGCAAAACATACCTGACAGGATATCATATTGGGATTATTTGTGTTTAATGATTCTTTGGCCATGTATTTGTTTACTCATGGTTGAGTGCTTCCGGTACATGCATTTTGCACCAATAAAAGACACATGCTTAGTAACAATAATTTCAACAAAAATGATAAAACCCAATTTTACATCATATACAAACATACAATTGCAAAAAATGGTTAGAATTTACAGAAATATATGGTCTAACATTATATTTCCTTATTTTCATGGATTTTCAATTTCATCTAGCATGTTTGCGTTCTATACATACAGTAAATAAGGATTTATGAACTGCATGTTTAAAGAAAATACAATTTTTTTAAAAACGAAACGAGTTCACTTGAAAAGATGCTCGAGCACGACGGTTTGCTTTTGAAAAAATAATTTGCTTATCGAACAAAATACAATAAACAATAGTTAGATCTAAAAGAAATGAACCCATATCAAATATTTACTAACCTTTAGTAGACGACGATCAATTTCTTGCTCATTAGCTTGGATTTGAACCGGACGGCCGCTCTAACTCCGAATTTTGTTTTTTGCCCTTTCGATTCAACATCAAATTGTAAGAAAAATTTGGACTTCGAACATAATAATTAAGGAACAGTATACAATAAAATAGATCTATACAGTACAAGTGAGATTTATGGTCGATTCGAAAAACTATGTTCGAAAATTACGAACCTTTGTGTAGTTGTCGATCGATGTACCTCAGATCGACAGGCGACCTTCAATTTCGCCGTCAAATTCCCCTTCTAATCGGACGATGTGCTCAAATGAAGATCAAAAATCAAAAGACAATTATTAGAAATTGTAAATCGAACAAAACATACATTGAGATATCACAAAATCGGAAGTCCCAGTACAAAACTTACAGTTTTAAGCTCTAACAAAAAAATTCAAAGACGGAGATATAAAAGACCACAAATAAAACTCGGCAGTTTCAGTACAATAATAGTAATAAAATTTTAAAAGACAAACGTAGCAAGTGCTTAATTTTTTAGAAATCCTACAAAATCGAAGGGAAGCGAACAGAGAGAGCAAAAAATGAACCCTCAATATTGGGGTGTGATTTCTATTTATATCTCTCTTGATAGGATAACAGCCGTTGGATTATTTTCACTGAAAATACACAAACCGTTCGATGCAGAACAATTAAAATATTTTAGCTGAAATTAATTTGCTGGTATAAATTTGGGCTGAATTAAAGGGATAGTTTAACCGGTAAATTCTTTGTCAATGGGCGGACATTCTTTTCATTTTTAATATAGATATTGGGCTTCATTTTCTTTTTATTGAATGCAATATATGTTAATTAATTGGCCCGGTTAAGTCAAAAAAGATATAATTAACATATTTTTTTCATTTATGTAAATAGGCCAAAATATATTTATTTTTTTTAAAAAAAATATGAATTGGCCTACATTATTTGTTTTATTGGGCCAATATTTTTGGTTAAATTATGTGTTCACTGAAAATACACAAACCGTTAGATGCAGAACAATTAAAATATTTTAGCTGAAATTAATTTGCTGGTATAAATTTGGGCTGAATTAAAGGGATAGTTTAACCGGTAAATTCTTTGTCAATGGGCGGACATTCTTTTCATTTTTGATATAGATATTGGGCTTCATTTTCTTTTTATTGAATGCAATATATGTTAATTAATTGGCCCGATTAAGTCAAAAAAGATATAATTAACATATTTTTTTTCATTTATGTAAATAGGCCAAAATATATTTATTTATTTATTTAAAAAATATGAATTGGCCTACATTATTTCTTTTATTGGGCCAATATTTTTGGTTAAATTATGTGTTCAATTAATTGGCCCGATATTTTGTTTACTTTGGCTACTTTACGTAATTTAAATATGTTACACAATGTGCTGGTCAATTATCTGATTTTTTCGAATTTTACTTATATAAATACTATGGATTCCGATTTTCGCAATGGATAACCTATTAGTAAACGACACATGACAATTGAATCGAGCAGTTCATCAAGTGCTTCAAATCATATGCCCTTCATTGATATTACAAATGATATTGCATTTATATGTTAATTTATATATAGCCAAGATATTCTCATCTTTCATTTTATAAAATGACAATTATTTTATAACGATTGAAATAAACATATAAATCATATATTAAATTATTATATATCAATCAATTAAATAATAAATAATTATTATTATTCAGAATTATTTTTATACTGATCAATATCGATTCATTACTTTAATACATTCAATTATAATTATTGTCTCATGCATTGCACGGACTACGTATTAATTTACGTTGAGAATAAATAGAAAATGGCACCATTGACGGTAAAGAGAAAATGGCACCGTCTGATTTTTGTACGGAGCAAATTATCCTTTTGCGAGTTGCTCTAATCTCGGTTGAATATTTTGTAAATATTATCCTGTTGATTTTTGTACCGTTGGATCAAATTATCCTTTTGCGTTTAGTGTTGTGGTTGAATATTTTGAAATGTTAGCCTGCTGATTTTTGTATCGGTTGGAACAAATTATCCTTTTGCGTTTAGAGTTGCTCTAATAGATATTTTCCTGTTGGATACGTTATTAGGATAAATAACAAGATTCAATTACTCTGATATCGGTTGATATTTTGTAGATATTATCTGTTCCATACGATTAAGATAAATAACATGATTCAATTATACTACTCGAATATTTTTAGATATTATCTTGTTTATTTTTTAAATATTATCTTGTTTTATTAGATAAGTTAGGATAAATATCAAGATTCAATAATCCTGTTCAAATTAAATTAGGTTTAGTAGAGTTATCTCGTTTTATTGGATAATATAATCCGCCTAAGGATAATTAACAAAATTAAATAATATATTTTAGTAGATATTATCCAATGAGCTCTAGAAAAAAAAAAGGTAAGAAAACAAATACTTTAAATACTTGGAGATGAAAATAAATATGTTTAATTCCAGCTTTTGTTATTTCACATGATAAAAAAATGGCTTATTCTAGAATTTAGAGTATTTATTCATTCGGTGACTTACTCCAGTAAAGAATAAATAGTGTAAATGTAAAAATTATTGATTAAAAATTAATATAATGTGTAAGCATATAGACTATAGTTCTACCACGGCATATTATATTAAATTTTATGTAGACAATTATATTATGTACATGATCCATAAAAAATATTCCATTCATAAAATTGCATGTAATATACTTTGTTGGGTAAATATTGAGTGAATCATCCATCATTATTGCCACCGTAATAATTAAAGCCGATAAATAAATAAATAATTTTTTTTACACTTATCTTATCTAGAGTAGAATTTTATCTTAAACCCAACTATATCCATTATCTATAAAATTAATTAATTTTAAGTTTTTTCTTCAATACAATTCTATTTTCACCCAACAACCTCCAATGATCTATAAAACACCTCCCTCGGAGCTCTCACACTCTTAACTCTCCGAGAAAAAAACAATACACAGGCGAAATAATTACTTTTTTTTTTTTTTGTTCCCTTTTTCCTTTCCAAATTATTTTAAGATTTTAAGATATGGCGTTGACTAGCAACGGCGGCTCCGGGAAGGGTCTGATCGTTAGTTTCGGCGAGATGCTGATCGACTTCGTCCCCACCGTCTCCGGCGTCTCCCTAGCGGAGGCGCCGGGTTTCCTCAAGGCCCCCGGCGGTGCTCCGGCCAACGTCGCCATAGCTGTGGCCAGGCTGGGCGGTAGGGCCGCGTTCGTCGGCAAGCTCGGGGACGACGAGTTCGGGCACATGCTCGCCGGGATCCTGAAGGCTAACGGCGTCTGCGCCGACGGCGTCAACTTCGACAAGGGTGCCCGCACGGCGCTGGCGTTTGTGACCCTACGCGCCGACGGCGAGCGTGAGTTCATGTTCTACAGGAATCCCAGCGCCGACATGCTTCTCACCCCCGATGAGTTGAATCTGGGATTGATTAGATCTGTAAGTTTCTGCATCTCGATCGTCATCAATCAATATCATCATATACATACATAAATTACTCATTCGAAGATGTTGTTGTTGGCCTGTGTGTAAGGGAACGCGAAATTTGTGCGCGACGTGTGCTGATTTTTTGGGTGAATCTGATCCCGATTTATATGCTTTTTTGGATTTTGTTATGTTTGGAATGGCAAAGGGGCGTCGAGTGAATCTGACGCGCTTTAATCTTTATTTGGCTTTAATCTCTATTCAGGGTGTCTAGTTTGACTCTGATTATATGAAATTCAATTTGTAAAATTTGGTTGATTGTATGGTGGGATAATGCTAATATCATCATATCTATCCTACCTTTAATTTTCTTTTTATATTATTAATTTGTTTGTTTAATGCAATCTTCGTTTCGCTTGAAATCAAAAGATGTGTTCTTTTTTTCCTTTACAATTCATTGTGTAAATTTGACATGTTATTTCTGAATTCCAGTTGAAATTATCTTGTTGGATTAATATCGGATCTTTGTCTAGACGACAAAAATTAGCAGACTTTGTCAATGTTCCAACTAATACATATAACACCATTGACACCATTGACCTTTCCTTGTTTTATGATATCTGATTTTGTCGATCTATAACTTATACACAAAATTGCTTCTTGTTTGTATGATATTAATTTGCTAGTCTGAATCGTTACTTTCTATGCATTCATAAAACTGTTTTCTTTTAAACATCAGTCTGGCATAAATTTGTCTGCCATCTACATTATCTGAGTCAAAGAAATAGATAAGCTCCAAATTTATTTCTTCATAAAATTACCTGGACTTTTGTGCGTGTGAGGCATTTATTAGTGTTGAGTTTGGAATCTTTAGGTGGAGTTAGAATCTGCTTCATGTCTACATCAATTTGTCTCTTGCATAGAAATTAAAATGGCTACTGAAACTTTTTATTATCTCTGCAAAAGTTGTTGCAATAGTACATTTATTAGGCTGCACTCATCTACCAACCATAGTTAGGACTCAAATGACCTTGATTACAATAAGTTGACCATTTTTCTTAACTCACTCAAAATATTGATGATAATAATTTGATCTCTTCTCAAAATTCTGTGAACTAAATTATATCCGATTTTTTTATGACAGGCAAAGGTTTTCCATTATGGATCGATAAGCTTGATAGTGGAGCCGTGCAGATCGGCACATCTAAAGGCAATGGAGGAGGCCAAGGCAGCTGGCGCCTTGCTGTCATACGACCCCAACCTTCGGCTGCCACTTTGGCCGTCTGCAGAGTATGCAAAGGAGCAAATTATGAGCATTTGGGAGAAAGCTGACATCATCAAGGTGAGTGATGTGGAGCTCGAGTTCTTAACTGGGAGTGACAAGATTGATGACGAGACCGCTCTTTCCCTGTGGCACCCCAATTTGCAGCTTCTTTTAGTCACTCTTGGTGAGAAGGGATGTAACTATTACACCAAGGTAACTATTTTCTTAATTATTATTATGCACAGTTTGTTTATTATTAATTTGTATTTATTTGAATTAACTAATTATTTGCTACTACTAAAGGTTTAGTCTTGTAGTACTGTGGGGTCAATATGGTATTCATATAATGGAAACAAATCTGTGGATTTAGAGCTGAATCAAGCGCCAACAAGTTGCAATATTTTAGTTGTTGTACAACTCATGCCGTGTCTTTTTCAAAAAGTAATTAATTGAAAATTCAATATGCGTATAAAAAAATATTTCTTGCTGTTACCTCAGAATATTTTTTTTAAATTAAAAAAGGTGAATCATGTGATTGCCCACCTTGTAATTTATCTTTTTCCAGTTCTATAATTTCATTGGAGGCATTGAGACACTTGAAAGGTCCAACAAAGTAAAAAAATCAAAATAAATAAAAAATGAAAAAAAATATAATAAAAACAATGATGGGATCGGAGAAAAATCAAGCACAACTATAAATGAGTTAGATCATTAGGTAGGCATAAAATTGAATGAAATAATTTTCCTTTTCCCTTGCTCTCATATTTTTTTATTTTCTAATTCAAATTTATTTTAAATTTCCTGGTGTGTGTGTGTGTATTATACTACTATATAGAATTTCCGGGGATCTATTAGTGGCTATCCGGTTAATACTGTGGACACAACTGGAGCTGGTGACTCTTTTGTGGGAGCCCTTCTTGGCAATATTGTTGATGACCATGACTTAATCCACGTAAGCTCTCCCTATCTCTATCTTACACGTGCACACTTGTTATTGTAAACTAAAATATTGAAAAGTTCATAAGAATTTTGATGATAATTTGAATTTTGTGTAAACTCTTCCATCAGATATACACACATTGATACTCAAATGTCATATTTTAAAATACTAAGTATGACATTTTTTATAGTTTTAAGTATATATTTTTTATAAGACATTATGACTAGTGTTTCTCGATTCATTATGTGAAAGGTTATTGGTTGAAATAAATATTAATATAATTTATGACACTATATTAGGATGAGGCGCGATTGAAGGAAGTATTGAAATATGCATGTGCGTGTGGAGCCATAACCACAACCAAAAAAGGTGCAATTCCAGCTCTTCCCACACCCGATGAAGCCCTAACCCTACTCAATAGATCAAAATAGAGATTTTATTAATTTTCTAATTTTCTAAGTTTAGAGATTTTATTCTAAGCTCGTCCTTTTTTTGCATTGCAATTTTTCAATCTCAACCGGTTTGGCATTTCCATTTGACATTGACATTGTAACCGGTTTGTTAACTTGTGATTATGGACAAATAATAAATGGTATTGTTTATTTTCTAGTTTTTCATGTCTATTAATATGGTAATGGGAAATGTTGATGTACCATAATTTGGCATTCTACTGTTTATGGTGATACCCGCGATGTAATTTATAAAGTTAAACACAAGAAAATGATGGAAGAGAAAAGAAAAAAGAAGAAATCAAACAAGTGTTTTATTGTCCAACGACAAAGATAGATGATATTTTGGCATTTTCGAAATTCATTTGCCTAATTGATTTTGTTGAATGTGCGTTATCATCTGAATTTGTTTTCAATTGTATCATTCACGTTTAGGGCCACAAGGAATATAAATCATCTGTTGTTGCTCATTTAACAAAGTTATTTTCAGTTGTGTATCACTCACGTTTAGATTTTCGGACCACAAGGTGTACATAAATCATCTGTTGATGATTAAACATTCTGTAGGGACTGGCCGTTAGGACGCAGTGCTACTACCGTGTGCGCTAGGTGTGCCAGGACAATTTAGAATGAACATGTTATGTTACAAAATGAACATGTGCAAACATGATTTACACATGTTCATTTTGTAACATAACATATTCATTTGTGGCAGGTGTGCCAGGGCACACCTAAATATTTGCGGTTAGGACGTATTTTGAGGGTGAAATATTGAAATATGCACTCTTCAACACGTGTCGCTCATATTATTATAAAATAACAAATAGACAAAAAATATTGTGTTAAACAGAGTAAAAATTTGAGCTTTTAATTCTTTTTGTTCGTCCTTTAGATTCTTTTTCAAATTGTAGGTGTTTGAGGTTCTAGATTACACAAGTGTTTCATTTCTTAGTCAACCTTTTTGGGTTCTCTCTACATTTTTTATTTTTTTCGGTTTTGCACCGAAAAATGTGTGTAATGGTAATTAAAAGAAATTATAACTTTAGTTTCACAAAATTGATTGGGTTGTGATTTAGTTCAGAGCGAGCAAAATTTGTTATTTTATTTTTTTCCATTGTAATAATTTTGGTCTCAAGCCTTTAGTGATTAATGGGAAAATGAGCATTTCCTATGGTTTGGATGTTCTGTGTTACTTTTGTCTTTGATATATTGGTGTAAATGATGTATTATACACAAATGTAAAAGTTTTATTTTAAAATATTTCCTTAATTAAAAAAAGATATATTATATTAATAGATTTGTTTTTTAAATTTCTAAACTTACTGAGAAAAAAATTCCGAACAATAATATTTAAGTTCACCTTTAATCAGAGCCGGTCCTAGCCTTTCTTAGGCACTGGGACAAATGTAAGAAAAACTCTTTTTTTGTAAAAAATAAAAATAAAAAAATCCCCTCCTTTTCATTCCATACGATGAAATTTATGATATTTCAACAGTTATTTTGTCTATTTCATACATTGAGTAACTTTGGATGAAGTAATAAAAATAATTGCCCCTCATTTTTGTTTATTTCAATGCAACAAGCTAAGGTAAACAAATAAGCTATAAGAAAATTTATATGAACCTAAAACATAAGTATGAACACTATTATTTACAAAATTATATAATTATGTGTAAGTTGAATATTATATTTATATACATCCTTATAATTTTGTGGAGAAAATTAACTCTCCTTTATTTTAATGTAATTTTATTTAACAACAAACTCATATTATTTTACACTTTGTTACTTAATTAAATAATTTTTTATTTAATGAGTTGTAAATTTTTTAGAATAAATAGTGATTATAATTTATAATACATAAACTATAAAGATACACAAAAAATAAAAAAATAATCTAATATGAATAGAAATAAAGATGGGTTGGTAGGTTCTCATCTATTTCAGAAAGTTTTGTTCATTTTAATTGTTAGGCATTTATTTTTTTTGTTGCAATTAATGTTTGTGGAAAACCTGCTTATATATTGATTTAAATGTCTTGAGGTTCTTTGGGAAAAAATGGATATGCTAAATAATTGTGGTCCCCTTCGAATTGGGCCCTGGTCTGGGCCCTGGGCCGTCGCCCAGGTCGCCTTGGGCCAGGGCGGCCCTGCCTTTAATAATATGCAAGATATAAATCTATGTTTATGATTGGATGTAAGTTGAATACAGACGGCTTTTTCATTCGGTCAACAAGTATGGCGTCGGCGGGGGGTCTTGTGCGCGACGAGGAAGGTCACTGGCTTGAGGGATTCGTTATGAATATTGGGTACACAACTATCACGGGTGCAGAACTATGGGGGCTACTTCAAGGACTTCGTTTAGTTTGGGACATGGGATATCGAGATGTCGTTGCGGAAGTGGATAACCTAAGCGTTGTCCAAATGGTTGTGGGACGCCCAACTGAGGAGTGGGGGATACATGGTGCAGTTGTCCGGGCCATAAGAGCACTATTACAGGAGGAGTGGTTAGTGCAAGTGGTGCACTGTTACCGGGAATCGAATTTTGCTGCGGATTGTTTGGCGGCGTTAGCTCACTCGTGTCCTAATGGCTGCCAGAGATTATTTACTCCGCCTCCAGAGGTCAAGCCGTGGTTGCTTCACGACGTTGTTGGCGTCGCGCACCCACGACACACTACTCTCTAGAGGATCCCTAGGCCCCGGCCTCCTACTTTGAAACAAAAAAAACATTGTTTGGATATTTTCTCTTGGTATATCTTTCGGTTATTGTGTTGTTAGAGTGGGAGAGTATTTTTTTTTATTTAATTTTGGTCGATATATAACATACAAAAATTGAAATTTGAGGTATGTTTATGAAATCTCAATCTTTCTTAATAGATGCAATGATATAAAATATAAAAATTTATTTGAAAAGATTAGTGAACAATAACATGATGGAAGATACTTAATAAATGCAAAATATAAACAACCAAAGTGTTTATTGAACATTATTACATATTGACTACTTTTTTATATGGAAATTCAAGACTATTGTAAATCTTAAAAAAGAGTCCAATGAATTGCAAATTAATGGTCTAAAAAATAACTTTGGATGGCGAAATGGATGATGTACCTTGTTGATAAGATTTCTGTTAATGTAGTATCTTAAGCTCTCTCGATTTACATCATGTCAAGACCCCAAGTATTATAACATTAATTGTTAATAATGATTACTTTTTTATTTATTTATTTATTTATTTTTGTCTTTCAAAGCAGTGAGCCGCAACAATGTTTGAATGAAGATGGGATGAGTAATGTTACAAATCTATACTTATATAATAAGAATTAACATTTAACCAAAATAGTAGGTCAAATTATAGTCAATGTCGGATTTGCATTAAATATTTTCCAAACGTGGTAAGTTTTTGTCCTTTTCACACTTCTCATTAATTATGTCTTTTTCACACTTCTCATTAATTATGTCCTTTTCACACTTCTCATTAATTATATCCTTTTCACACTTCTCATTAATTATGTCCTTTTCACACATCTAATTAATTCATTAATTACGACATAATTATCATAAATCATTCCATCTGAGCTTTTATCGTTAAAATGTATATCGATCTGTTATGACCTTATCCCATTGATATTTCTATGAAGCGTCCTTATCGCGTTCTATTTTTTGGTAACCACTCTCTATCAATAACCGGATATTTGGTTAAAGATAGCACACGTCTTTATTTCAAGGAGCGGATATTCTTTGACTTTTAATTAATCTGAACTGATTGTCTTGACTTTTCAATTTTTAAAAACTCTTTTTTTAAATATTTCGGCTTAAGATTCGGATTTCATTATACAAGTCATCGGATTGTTTGAATGAAAATGAATGAAAAGAACACAAAAAACAGGTAGCCTTATTCATATAACCAATCCTAAAATATTAGTTTGTTCACCAAAAAGAGACAAATCCTAGAAATACTAAAATATTAGTTTGTTCAGCAATCCTAAAATATTAGTTTGATTTTTAGGATTTGTCTCTTTTGAAAAAATTAGTTTGTGATAATGAGGAGTTACCAAATAATCAAACTCATAATGTTGTGTACAAGGAGGTTTTTAATAATATATGATTGTTACCGAACTTTTTATGATTCAACAATGTCCCTATGTATTTTAATGATTTCAATTTCGATCCTAATGCACGTGAGGTTATATTATTCTTCCAAATTTTACATCTCGTGCATCGCACGGGTTACGTACTAGTACAATTGAATATGACATCAAATGTAAAGTAAACATATTCATCATTTTTATTTAAATGATTCTAATGACAACTACTTTGTAAAGTATATAACAAATTTTATGATTTCGTCAAATATTTGTTATTTTCTTTTATATTATAATAATTTATTTTTTTACCTGTACTAAAGTTACAATAAATGATATATAAATCCAACACGTTAGTACGGAAAAATATTTATACTATGTGTATTATTGAAAGGTGAACTTAAATTATGTTGTTCGAAATCTTCTAAATAGTCATCTCAAAAAATAATAAAAGCAAAAGTAACCTTATTAACCACATAGAATTGAAAAAAAAAAAAANCACAAAGAATAATTTATTAATTTATTATTTAATTAACTTAATACTATGAGATAAATTGAGTTCAGTCCAGAAATAGTAATCTTGAGGGGAGTAGGGACGTCGTAGACGCGTGCAAGGCAGCAGGGTTCGCAGCCTTCGGCCAAAATTCAGTACATGTACGTGTGTGTTGTCTCTGGCTTAATGTGAAAATGCGTGTGCTTATTACCGTATGCTCATACAGTCTTTCGCTCATGATATACTCTCGAGTGTGCATTACGATGTGTTTGTAGGTCAGCATAATTTCGCATGGATCTGGTTTTCTAGCTGTGGTCTATTTTGTTCTTTTGTTACCTCAATTACCAAGGGTTTATGAATTGATTTTGGTGTGGAAAATCTTGTTTAAAGCCACCTCATGTCATGTTGGAATTAATAATTAAAATTAATAAAGCCACTTCATATGACAGATAAGATTGTGACATAACTTATGGCGCCCATATGAGCGCCATAGAATTACTGGTATTTAT